CCTGGTTCTGCCGCCACCATCTGGACTGTAGCCCAGGCCTTTGCCACATTCATCAGAAATGCTTTGTATTTCAATTCTGAATCAGGGTTCAGATTTTTTTTTTAGATTTTTTGCTGTCCCCACAATGTTACTACACGCAATGTTATTACCCGCATTATCGTTGGAGCTACTGTCACTTTTACTGTCTGTGGCCACAATTCTTTGTTGTCCCACTTCACTGTCGCTGTCTGAATGACAATTAATCTATTACTACGCGTCTCACAAGGCAGGTCAGCTAGGTCATCGGAGGAGAATTTGTCCTTGATCCATTCTCCCCACCAGCTACTGGCTGATACACACAGCTTGAAGGAGGCAAAGCATTTTCCTTTATAGTCGGTTAAGTAAACAGCAAGGTCAAGTTACTGACTGCTAACTAAACATTCCAGAGTCTTATCACGCATCTGCAGGCGGTTGCATGCAATGTAGGTGGCGCCAGAGTGATGTATAGTGGGTTGCAACTTATCGTGTACTAAAAGCCTGTTAACATGTGAACGGTCCGCCATGTTTAAAAGGGAAAGAACTTTTAAAGGGTGTGTGGTCCGCAAAGTGTTAAAACCCAGATAACGGTGTATTTTGCGTTACCAAGGGAACGAGCCCCATGAAGCTCTGCCCAGAAAATGCGCAGCTTGCGGCTGTCAGGCCGCATGTCATATTTCTCCCTCCTAAAGGCTGTTCATCCCGAACAGTCTAACGGTAGTATGTCACCATTTATTCTTTTCCGAGGTTTCTGCTCGTGATGTCACGCCTTCAAATGCATTCAAATTGCTCGATTGGTTTATTTCTCTGCAGTGGCATCTCTCAACCGCTACCACTGCTCCCTCCTGAAGGGTGCTTGTCCTGAGCAGCTCCCTTATGAGGTTCCAGTCTATCAACGTGCATCATCTTATCCAAAGTTTCTTTTCCTCTCTTTCTCTTTCTAGCGGTGGGGGCCGGTACTTTTTATTACAGACTCCCGTTCTACCTGTAATTTCTTTTTCTGGTTTGGAGGGGGTCGACCCCCCACAATGTCCAGTTCAACATTCTTTGCAACCTGCTGAACATCCCGTCTGCTTGCTTCACAAATTCCAGCTCTAGGGTCATTTTGAGGGTCTTGTAGGTCTGTCCTCCTCTTCCCAGAGGTGATAGCTGTGTTGAGCTCCACCCTCCGATGCTGATCGCGGTTGCCCTCTTCTTCCTCAGGTATAGTGGCCGCTTGCCGCCTAGAACTGCCGTTACCTTTTTTCTTTCATGGTGGGTCTGTAAATTCTTCCTGTGTGGCCCTACTCTCTGGGTTGCTCACTCAATCTTGGCCCTGGTGCAGTCCTTTCTGATGCCTCTCTTGCGCCACGCTGCTCTTGCACAGTGGGTCATTAACCTGCCGCCAACGGTCATGCTCTTCCATGACACACTATATCCCTCGGTCCTTTCCTTTGGTTTTTGGTGGTGCTCTGCAGCCAGATTCCAGTCCCTACACTGCTTCCTCATTCCTATGACCAGTTTCACTATGACATCTTCCTTAGGCACCTCCAGATGTGCCGCTTTTAGATTTGCATCTGCCTTTACCGGGCTGGTGTCAATTTTTGCTTGGTTCATTTCCACCTTGTTTTTAATTGTTTTCATTTCAGCCTGCCTTTCTTCTCGCTCGGCATCCCACTCGGCGAATAGAGAACCTGTCTGTTTTCATCATCTCTTCCACTGCTTCTAGATCGGCTTTCCTACTGGCTTCCTCGCCTCATAAAGCTCCGCCCAGTACATGGGCAGGATGCGGTTTTCAGGCCGCACGTCACAATACTATTATATTACTGACATGCTTTGGTCATCAATGGCCATCCTTAGGGTGAGACTAAATTTTAAGCAAATTTTATTACATACATAAAGAAAGATTTAGAAAATCTACGCCTTAACTTTTTTTACACGCACAGTAATCTCCAGATTAGTTGGTGTGGAGAGAAAATGATTTTCCGTGGATAATCGGTAAAAGGAATATATAACTAATATGAAACTAATATTGAAAGGGCAAAGAGAAAGTGCAGTGTTACTTGAAAACAACTGGTACAAAGA